ACCCCCCCCCCCCCCCCCCCCTTTATGACCCCATGCTGGCACTATATGATATTTTGGTTGATAATTTGCTAACGTATACGTTATCACAACTGACATATATAAAATCTAGCAGCGTTCAAAATAGTTTGGTTTCTGCGACTCTGACGCCCACAGCTCATCTTTGCCTCCAGGGTCCCCTAGCGAGTTAATCCAGCCCTGGCTGTAGCATTTTCTCAACTCATAGGAGCATCTGCATTATTCAAACCACAACGTGAAACTATACGTTTGTCATGTTTTTCCCAGTTTTATGGTCGGGGTCAGAATATCAAAAATAAACGACAGCCTTTTTTAAATACAGGTAGCACACAGCTGCTCCTGAACCTTGTATTCTTAATTATTAACTACATCTGCACATGTAGAACTGCAGCCTTCAGTATCATGAAGGTTGACATTTCCTGACAGAGAAACCCACCTCAGACCAGCAAAGCATGGCAACATTTTCCCTGTATGGGAACGGGTGATGTCAGAGGAGATGATGCAGCATAATCCCCTACTGCATCAAACTGGGGCGCTCCTATTGGCTGACCGGGGTATTGAGATGCTGCGCAGTGTGTCGCGTCATCTGACCAGCAGCTCGTCCGGCTCAACACTCGCCCTGGAAATGAGGCAGTGCAGATTTTGAGAAAACGCAGCGGCAAGAGACCAAAGACTGGACGCCGGTGAAGTCGAGACAGAACGCACTCTGCCCGCATCCGCAGCACACCATGAGGGAAATTGTTCATCTCCAGGCTGGACAGTGTGGAAATCAGATTGGAGCGAAGGTATGAATGTTACAATTCATATTCAATATATATACTCATATTCATATTCAATATATATATATATATATATATATATATATATATATATATATATATATTGTTAAGTTTGAGATGGATTCTTTATTGTTTATATATGTGCAGGGTGCGGTTCAGCTGGGCTGTGCAGTGATGTGGCCCCCTGCTGCTGCGTGTGTCATTTTGTCGCCAAACAAAATGTCGCGCATTTAGTGAAAGGCCTGATGTGCGCACCTAACTCGTTTTCACACCATGTTATGTCGCATATTGAGTCCCACAATTGCACCTCCTCATATGATCACGTTTGTCCCGTTTTAGTTCTGGGAGGTGATAAGTGATGAGCATGGCATCGATCCCACCGGTAGTTACCAAGGTGACAGTGACCTGCAGCTGGAGAGGATAAATGTCTACTACAACGAGGCTTCAGGTAAAAAAAAAAAAAAAAAAGTGTTAAGGTTTGTTTTAAAGTAACCAAATGTCTGCATCTGAATAATTTACCACCACATTAAGCTTTGTTTACATTGCTAATTGTTCTTGCATGACCTTATGCTACACAGACCTCATTTGAATGCCACAGTTTGCACATGTCACTAATTTAGCTGCAAGGGGAAAGTAGGTCCCACTGAGTGCAGGGAAAATTAGGACAGTGAATCTGCTAAAATCTCTCTCTCTCTCTCTCTCTCTCTCTCTCTCTCTCTCTCTCTCTCTATAGGGAGCACAGGTATCTGCAGTCTCTGTATAGCTGACCCCGAGCCCATTGTGCCTCGGTCTCATCTCAGTATCTGATTGTTAAATTTTATATTGAAGGTCGTTCCAAATGCATTGCGTGTCGTTCCTCACAGCTGCCGTGCATTTAACAAAGAAATCATCCAGCTGTGTGTCCAGCGATATGGTCTTAGTACCAGGGGCGTTTCTAGGATTCAAAGAAAGGGGGGGCTTAGCCCCAAGGGGAGTGGCATGTTTGTACGCTATGTAGCGGCAATTTTTTAATAATGCCAAATTATTTGGGGGGGGCTGAAGAAAATAGGCCTAACGACGCCCCTGCTTTGAACTGATGCATGTCAGAGAAGGACACGCAGTGCAGATCACAATCCATGTGTACACATAATTGAAGTCGCTCATCCGCTTTGCCTAAATGAAAGGCGCATATAGGCCTAAACAGCATACACTATTAATGTCCACCACTAATCTATTTCCTAGCAGCGAGCATTATTGATCCTTTGTTTCCGTGTTGCATCAGTGTCACCGACTGGGTCACTACTGAATGTGTATCGACTGAGCATCTCGTAAATCAATCTATCCTTAGAAGTTAAGAGAATAGAATGGCAGATGTACAGAGGCAAGCAACATTAAGACTTAACCGGGCAATGTAAGAGAGAAAAAAGTTATGTGTCGAATGCTTTGTTTAAATGCACTCTGCAGAGCTTGCAATATATAAAGCCCCACTGGTCTAGAATAAGCTGTGCAGCATACTGCAGCAGTTTGCTTGCAAGAAGGGTTACAGACGAAGAAAGAGGAACAAAGTAAGGTGCATGAAAAAAACAATAGAAGGCACCTTTCTGTCTTTAATATTCAGCTTGATGGACAGGCTGTAGTGTCCTTTAAACAAAATACTGTTTACCTGAAAGATTACATTAGCAAACAGCACTGCTGTATTTAAACCCCAGTATCCAAAAATGTGAAAATAATTTCTTCCGTGGTTGACTACAGATGTTCTGACACCATGTACACTGAGACTGGCGATATCTTACTCCACCCTTCCATCCATTACCTCTCTCTGTCCCTCTATCTTCTGCTCTTGTTTTGGTCCAAAGGCAGCAAATATGTCCCTCGTGCCGTTCTGGTCGACCTGGAGCCAGGAACCATGGATTCGGTACGCTCGGGCCCATTCGGACAACTGTTCAGGCCTGACAACTTTGTCTTTGGTGAGTGGACAATACATCACAATGTCACCACTCACCCTGAAGCAACTGCACATAGAGTGTAAGTTGTGTGTCAGCAGCCGCTGTCATATCCTATGGAGCTGTGCTTAGTTTCAACTGAGGGCTTGGCAGCACTGCGTATTTCCAGCATGAAGCCTCTGCAGCCTCTCAGCGATGTGCCAGTAGTGTGAGGCATTGTCCATGTGCAGCTGAGTCAGTCTGAGACAGCTCTCGTGGTGACTCAGCGAAAAATAAATCGACAAGGAGGTGATGCTGCAGTGCTGCTCACAAATGAGGATTCAGGGGCCAATAAACTCTACATCATGACTCTCCATTAAATTATCGTTTACCAGGGATTTCATTTACATGTCTCGATTATTAAAGAGCTATAGAACGAATGTACTTTTACTAAAAATTACACATGCTTAATTTTTCAGAATTTCTCATTTATAATAAATAACTTAAGGTATTTCAGTGAGAACTTTACAAAGGTTGTCATGAATATGTTGTAACAAATGACTTCATTAAAGGTTAATATATGATTTATTAATGCGTTACAGATCATAATAATTCATTAAAGTGTAACTTCACACCGAGGTCTGAGCCACAGCCCACCCAATGCATATTTCTTTTAAATAAGGTGGATGGGTCAAACAAACACAGGACTTTTGTCCAGGAAGCTGCTGTTTGTGTCCCGTGCAAAACTAATGAGTCTCTAGTCAGTCAAGTTAATGTCGACCAGACTCTTTTTCTTAACCTGACTAAGTGGTTTTGTTGCCTGAACCTTAACTTTCTGTGAACACAGAAGTTTATTTTGAAAAGACGTAGTATGTATGTAAGGAGTAGAAACATAGGCCTACACACTGTCCCTGACACGTCTGAAATGCTAGAGGGCTACCTAGAGGGTCATAGTATGAAGCTTAGGGCCACTGACAAGCATTGGTATTTGACGTGTTAGGAGTGAGAATGTGTTGAAAAAATGGTCAAGCGGCTGAGAGATGAAACTACGCCCATGAAACTGGCCTGGAGGAGGTTGGGTGCCAGTTAAAGAGAGACCCTCATGGCTGTAGCCGCTCGAGTGGCGGTCTGCTCTCCTCCCGGCTCTAGTCACCTAACAGCGGGCAGCCACCAGCCCGCTGTTTCGCTCATTTTCTGTTACCAGTGTAACATTAGCATGAAAATATGGTGGAACTAGCAAGCTAATGTTTGCTAGCGAACTAGCAACCCGCTAAACGGGAAGAATTAAACAAATTAATGCTTCATCTACCATTGTCACAGTTTAGGAAAGCACATTGCTATCACCAGAGTGATTGCCATTAACACTGTTTCACCAGATGTTGTAATGTGCTAACAGTTTAATTTCCAATCCACAGAAAGGAGAGAACAGGCTTGTGCTGTGCAAGATTAGGGCTGATTTCAAAACGTAGCATTTCAAGCCATTGTCAACCATGAACTGAGTAAGAAATGTCAAAGTTAACATCAGCATTGAGGTGTATCGCCAAAGTATGTTCATGTGACAGAGGATGTCGCATGTGTACAGATTGTAAAGCCCTCTGAGGCAAATTTGTGATTTTGGGCTATACAAAATAAATTCTATTGAATTGAATATCAATTAGTTTATAGCATAAAAATCACATTTAAATATGAAGTTACCGCTCGAAGAAAAACATTAGGGTTGCCAGTTTGTTAACCAGCCATAATAGCGGCTCTGTCAGGCTGTACCTAGGAACAGTAGTGCTTTGAGCTAAATGCTAACGTCAGCATTGCAACATGCTAACAATAACAATGTTGATGTTTAGTAGATGTTTACCATATTCACCATTTAATTCAGCGTTTTCACCATGTACAATTTACTATAATAATTAGCACTTAATACAAAGTACAGCTGGGGCTGATTAGAATTAATCTTCTAACATGAATGTCCAAAACAATATTCATGGCAATCTATGAGACATTTCACTCAAAACCACAATTGTCAATCTAATGGTGGCATTAGAGGTAAAGTTATGGGATCACCAAATTGATTAGGATCATCCTCTTGGGACTATGAATGTCTATGCGAAATATTACGGCAACCCATCAATGAAGACATTTGTTACAATACACCCGTAAAGTATGCCTTTGCATGCTTTGTATGCAGAAAGTGGCACCATTATTTGTCCAACATTATTTGGCTTTCAACATTATATGCATCATACAGGTCAAAGTGGAGCAGGAAATAACTGGGCCAAGGGCCACTACACCGAGGGAGCTGAGCTGGTGGACTCGGTAATGGACGTGGTGAGGAAAGAGTCTGAGAACTGCGACTGCCTCCAGGGCTTTCAGCTCACCCACTCACTGGGGGGAGGCACAGGTTCAGGAATGGGTACACTGCTCATCAGCAAGATCCGCGAGGAGTACCCTGACCGCATCATGAACACCTTCAGTGTCATGCCTTCCCCGAAGGTGTCTGACACTGTGGTGGAGCCTTACAACGCCACTCTCTCTGTCCACCAGCTAGTGGAGAACACAGATGAGACCTTCAGCATTGACAATGAGGCCCTGTACGATATTTGCTTCCGCACCCTGAAGTTGACCACACCTACCTACGGAGACCTCAACCACCTGGTGTCAGCCACCATGAGTGGGGTGACCACCTGTCTCCGCTTCCCTGGCCAACTCAACGCTGACCTCCGTAAGCTGGCTGTCAACATGGTGCCCTTCCCCCGCTTGCATTTCTTCATGCCGGGCTTTGCGCCCCTCACCAGCAGGGGCAGTCAGCAGTATCGCGCCCTCTCCGTGCCAGAGCTCACACAGCAAATGTTCGATGCCAAGAACATGATGGCGGCCTGTGACCCTCGCCACGGACGCTACCTCACCGTGGCAGCCATCTTCCGCGGCCGTATGTCAATGAAGGAAGTGGATGAGCAGATGTTGAATGTACAGAACAAGAACAGCAGCTACTTTGTTGAATGGATTCCCAACAATGTCAAGACCGCCGTTTGCGACATCCCTCCCCGTGGCCTCAAAATGTCCGCCACCTTCATTGGCAACAGCACGGCCATCCAGGAGCTGTTTAGAAGGATCTCTGAGCAGTTCACGGCCATGTTCCGCCGAAAGGCCTTCCTCCACTGGTACACGGGCGAGGGAATGGATGAGATGGAGTTCACTGAGGCTGAGAGCAACATGAATGACCTGGTGTCTGAGTATCAGCAGTACCAGGATGCCACTGTTGATGAGATGGGCGAATATGAAGAAGATGAAATAGAGGATGAGGAAGAGGTCCGTCACGATGTTCGCCACTGATTGTAAAACACTGACTCGACACTTCACAAATATTTATTGTTCTAAACATAGCTGTTTAGCTAAGCTTATTTTGCATATAGATATAGCTCATACTGACAAAGACCATGATCATAGGTGCTACAACCTAAAAATATGCAAGAATAGTAATTGGTTTTCCAAGTCATGCTTTGCCAGTGTCAAAAATAAATAAAATGTTCTTCAAGATGCATTCACTGTCTCAAGTCTCCAATAAAAGTCCTGTCAATACTTCGTCATGTTTTTATTTGGTAGTTACACAGGTGTCAAGGTTAATAATATAATAATAATATAGGTCCTTTGGTTGTGAGGTGTTATATATTTACACAATTCTATATGGCATGAATGAGAAATCCTTATGTTAAGGTGTGATGATACCCCACGAACACCCACAAGCAACACAAAACTACTTACCTGTACCTTGATAGCAAGGACTGTATGTGTAGCTAAAGCCTGACATAGCTTATTTCTTTGTGACATAGACCTGCATTGCACAGCTGCACTGGGTGCATTGTTCCTTATTTACAATAAACACGGGCTTTGTAGTTTATTTTGAGTCATACACAGTGCTAGTGCAGTATGTACTGAATAGCACAGCTGTTTTAGGAAGATATTTTGTCTTTGTATTTCAAAGACAAGGTAGGGAAGTCAGAAAGTCCAGTCAACTGCATCGTAGTTTTTTGTCTTTTCATGGGCTCTGTTGACAGTTCCCAACCTTATCCTGTAGTGTACTGACTTGTGAAAAAAGAACAAACATTTAGCTCTTTTATAGCCAAACATACTTTTGACTAATGCAGTACCCTTAAGATGACAAATAGCAACATCTGATCAGATACATTTTGCAATATATAGAGTCAAGTAACCACAATACTTATAACTTGACTTAAAGGAGTCTGTTTGGTTTGAATTTTGTAAAAGTGCGGAAGTCACTGTGAAATTTTGATCTATAGCCTTTTTATGCAGATAGGCTGACGGATTGTGACACGTACGAGCAACCAGGAGGAGCCCAGTGACAGTAATTAATTAAATCTTGACAGAACAAACAGGCAGATAAGCAATAGCAGAATGTCAAAACATGCATTAATCACTGCCAATCTAACAATGTGAAGCACACCATGACGGCAGCATGAGGAAACTTGCCGATATGAGACTCGGGCTGTTAACGTAGTCCCTTAGGGTTTTAAGTTTGAAATATGTTACAGTTCTGGCCACACCCTAGTACTGACTGTCAAAGCCAGAATTTTCAGTTTGAAAGCTGTTGAGAAACATCTGCTTTGACATGATGAATGGCCATGAGAGCAAAACCAAGAATAAAACGCTCAACCCAGAGCAGCAATTTCTATCCCTGAGCCAGATGGAAAAATGCAGGCTTTTCGATAAGTCTTTTGCGGTGAGTTAGAAGTAAATCATTTAAACAAATTATCCCAGAGGAATGACAAGAACACTCTGTGTTTACCCACAAGGATTCCTACTTTAGTGAGAGTACAATTACAAACTACCTCTTTTTTTACATTTTTACGTTGACAGCATGACTGATGGTTTGACCTGATCTAAGATGGTGGTGGAACATGTTCTTTGACTTTTGTGCATCTTCCTTCAGATTTCATTGCAACACTCAGAAGCCTGGGGTATTGACTTGATCCTCGAGTGCAAAAACAATAATTTCAAAAGATGAGCTGCTTCTCAGCTCTGGTTAGAATGATGAACACTAAGCTTTTGAGCAGCCACACCTCATTTCAAATCACTCTTTGGATCATTTAAGGTAAATGATCTGTACACGACTCCATGAGGGTAACCTGATTTTCTACATTATCTTCCTTGTTTACGTGAAGCATGTCTGAACCTCACTGAATGAAGCGTGTCTCAACTGACAAAGAAATGTGCTATCGGCTTAAAGTTCAGGAAAGTTTTTCACCTGTCAAACTCCACAGTCAGCACTTTAGCATGGTTTCCATATGGGCATTTGAGAGTTAGCACCAAAACTAACTTTCAATTTACACTCAAATGATTTTTCACATCAAAGATTATTAACAGGAGTACTCTTAACATGTTATCGCGGCCTTTACAGAATGTGCTGTAGTTGCAGAACATTTGACAGTGAATGGGTGAAACACCAAACATAAAAAAGTCTTTTAGAAAAAGTACAACACAGGGTAATGATATATTTGTTTACACCTCATTTGCAGTGCAAAACAAATACATAGTGTATTCGAACGATGCCCTTTTCTGCTGAAAGCTAGATGACCAAAACATTGCATCAGTTAAAATTGTCTCTTTAAACTAAGACACTACGTGGAGTGTCATCCAAACATGTATGGCTTTCCATGCACTCGTTACAATACTTGTAACCACACAAAAAGCATCACTACAAAAGCTCTTTTCCATTTGATTTTATTATGACAGGAGGTGCAGAACTTTGAAAAACGAATTAACCTCATTTTCATATCCAATACTGCTTTAGTGCAGCCCTGTTCTAAAGCAATATACAGTTTGTAATATTCATACAGCATATTAGAAACTACAGATGGAAACACAAACACATCAATAGCAAGTAGAGCAATATCAGAGTCATTCTGCTAAATGTTTTCAGTGCTTGGCAAGCTCGTCCTTGATTACTCTGCCTATCCCCATACCCAATTTATGTTACCTTCACACACGCACTCAAACGCACACGGCGAGAGATGGAGAAACACACAATAAAAACAACATAATAAAAGCCTAGCTGATAATTACGGCACAATATATATTTGTAAAAATAGGGTCTTCAGCTATAATGTACATCTCTTATTTTGTTTTTACAGAATTGGCACTTAGAACTTTTGGAGTTAACACTTGTCGTATTAGAAAATCACAATTTAGAAACACACACATATTCAGTAGAAATAGTAAAAAGAATAAGAGTACAACAATAAAAATGTTCTTCAGTTAACAGTCTGTGGTGACTATGTTATCTTTTGATCAAAACTATCATCTCCCGTCTTGGTACACTATATCATTCAAACACTTTGGCTTTGGTTATTCATCAGATCTACGGTAAAAACAGCATTTACATATGTTCCAAGCAGTAGCCACCTATTTAACATCTCCTGATTAGTTTCAGTATAACTAAGGTAGCTTCCGGCTTATGGCACGGAGTACTATAAAACACAACCAAAGCCATCTTTAGAATCACACCGCACTATGAAAATATAGTAGTCAGAGCACCGAATCTAGTGTTCAAAGCCTATATGGATAAAGGCAACATTATTGTAGCTACCTCTGCTATAGACATTTTCAAAATAATTGAATGTGTCAAGATGACTTACGGTATAATTAGAGTCATTTTAACAGAACTTTTGTCAAGTGACTAAATATTAGGATTCTATGAGCGTCATGCTATGTGTTGCTCTAATCTAGAAGAGCAAAAAGTAAGATTTAAGTCCGTACCAATGCCATGACTATTTGCCAGGTGCTGGGATATGTTATTTTTCACTCCCTTGTGGGAACTTGGGAGTACAATCGGAGATGTAGGGGTGGGTAAACTTTTTGTTTGCTTTTTCCATTTCCCATTGGTTGGGAGATAAGGTCAGAGGTTTTAAGTTTTTGTTTACTCAAGTTCTAGTCATGTTTACTTTCGCTGTTCCCGCCCTGAAGCCACTCGAGTTTTGTACCGGAAATAAATACAGTGCTTTTAGGGCTGTCATTTGGTGTAGAACTGGTCATTCTTGGGACAAGAGAAAGAGGGAACTCCCACTTGCCAAGGTTTTCAGTCGGCATCGGTTTAACAGGAGAAATCATGTAATGCCTCTTAAAATCAGTTGCTTTGTCTCAATTCTGTTCTTGACACTAATACTGCGTAGTGTGCACTTTCAACTAATGTTCGTATTAGCAGGTAGCATACAAGAAATGCATGCAGTTTTTGGTATCAACAAATGTCAGAATCATTTTACTAAACAGCATTAGTATGGAAATCCAATGCTTTGTACGGCCACAATGGTCACATAGTCAATACCACGTGTTAACTACTTTAAGCAGGTGGGATATTACAAGATGAGGATATGCAGAATTGCAATTTTGGTCCAACAGACTAAACTATCCTTCTACCAGTTTTACCAAAATGTATCACAATCTGTTGAACATACATGTATTAATATACAGTATTACATTTTATACTGAAATTGATTTCAGTATATATTAAAACAAGTGTGAGATTAGTGAATATGCTAAACAAAAGGGCCGCTTTACGCTCTTGTACTGGATTCAATATTTCTCTCAGTGACTGAGACCTTCTTACGTTGCACAACAACTCTCTGGCTTCCTTTCAATTTGGGTGTGGCTTTCAGAGCAAATTCCTCATTTGAACCTGAAGAACCGTGGGAAGCCAGGGAAAAACTCGGAGTTTGAAGCTGAAAACCTTGACCTCTGATCTCTGAACCCTGCTCTGCAGACCCATATCCTGTCTGACCAATGCCCTGTGCTAAGCTTGCAACTTGCTCTCCACCTGAGGAGCCATTCTCCACCAACAACACCTGCCTGGACCTGGAGAGGGTCCCTTGTGAAAGGCCTTGTGCTACCTGCCCCGTCACTCCACCCATTCCTACTTGCCTATCTACAAGGACCACACCCTGACTACCTTGCAGGCCACCAACCTGCACCAGACCCTGACCACCTTGCAGGCCACCAACCTGCACCACACGCTGACTACCTTGCAGGCCACCAACCTGCACCAGACCCTGACCACCTTGCAGGCCACCAACCTGCATCAGCCCCTGACTACCTTGCAGGCCACCAACCTGCACCAACCCCTGACTTAGCCCAACTTGACCTACTGCCTGCTGGGTCCCCCCTGCCACAAGCACCATTTGGGGATTGGGCTCGACTACATACATGGGACTGGCAGCATAGTACATAGTGGGCTGCTGCATGAGCAGCGTCTGACTGGGAATCACAATGTTGTCTTGGACATGCACTGTGGGAGCAGTGGCTGAACCCTGGGCTCTCTCAGTGATTCGCTCCTCCTGCACAATGGTGGAGGATCCAGACGCTACATTGGAGGTGTTGAGGGTGTTTATATTCATGTGGTCCCTGTCCCTGGTGGTTTCCGCGTGAGTACTGACATGTGTGTGGGAGGACATGGAGGGCCAGACAGGAGACACTGGTCTGGGTGGAGAGAATGAAACCCGTGCATCCACGGATTCTCTCACCAAGGTTGACCCCTGACAGATCTCAGCCAGGGTTTTGAATTTAGGCCCAAGATCATTGAGGAAGGCAAGGTCATTATCATTCTCAAGAAGGCTGCAGCAACCTACAGAACCTGCCAGGGACTCCTGACCTTCATAGTCAAAGACCAGAAAACCGTCCTTCTGCTGAGATTGGTGAGCAGCATGGTCGGATTTCTGCAAATAAATAGAACCGGAGTGTATTTTTGTTATAAAAACAAGCTTAAAAATTCAAAATGTTTGTTAAAAACCATTGGACTTGGGTGTTTTATGTACTCACACTTGAATAATACTCCCCCAGGAACTGATCAGATAGAGCCATCCCATCAAAGGCCCCAGCCCTGTATTGGGAGAAGCGTTGTCCTTGTCCTGTCATCATCCCAGCATCTACGTAGTCCATCCCCACCTGCCCCCTGGAATGACGATATTGGTTGTACAGGTCCATGTTCTCGGATGTCAAGATGGAAGTGTTTAGGCCACCGCCTCCACCTGCTGCGCCTCCTAATTCAGTCAGTCGTCCTTGGTAGATATTTCCCTCATAGGTGTTGATGTTCCTGGCCTTTATTGTGCCAAGATCAACTTCCGCTGGCGCATGTAGAAGAGGAACGTCCTGTGAGAAAAATGTCAGATCCCCATCAGAGAAGCAGCATTTTAGGCAAATTTGTTTGACAAATGTTTTTAAAACTAAATATATGCAAACGTTGTATACTAATCAAAGTACCCTGTCTTCTCCCTGTCCCTCGGTGTGATATGAGATGAGCTGTTGTTTTGTATCAAATGGAATGGCCTTGAAATCTCCAATAGCTGCTGCACCTCCACACAGGCAGAACAGCAGCAGCAGGGGCAGCACTGAAAAAGAGTGTCACACTATGTCAACAGAAATTCTTATAAAAATGTACTGGTCATGTCAAATAAAGTCAAACCATTAATCAGTGAATTACTTTAATTAACAAGAGGGCTCAAACTCATTTAGAAGACATAAAAAATAATTGTGTAATAAACCATGCATGAGTCATGAACTGTCTCTTTCAGAAGGTGCAGGTGATTGGTACTTTCTTTTAATCTCTCCCAGCACGCTACAACATGTCTGGTTAGGCAACCTTGTAGAAGAAAGTTGATTCTTATAAAATAACCAAACCCTGGGAGAAATCAAATAGGTATTACTCTACTCACACAGCAGAAGCAGCAGACCCAGGAGCAGAAGCAGGATACCTGAAGCTCCAAAACCTGCAGTCTTTGTAGTGCGAGACCTACAGCTTTTAGTGCTGGCATCGCAATTACACACAATTACGTCCATCATCTGGACATCATCACACGATTTCCCCTGCTGGTCTTTGACCTCCACTGCCACTTTGTACGTGCCTGGCCACAAGTTGGCTTGGTCTCGCAGAATGACTGTGGTCTCTAAAGAAAGATGAGAGCCACATTTTAAAAAGGGGTGCACCATTTCATAAAGAAGTTTGTTTGTTTGTGTCTTACTATATATGGCGAAGCTTACTTTGTCTAAACAGAAATGATTAAACCAAGAATGATCTTTTTCACAACGAACACATACTTCTCATGGCAGAAAAAGCACAGAAAAAAAAATTAAAGATGGTTCCATTTGATTTTAGCGTCTCAGTAATCCGTGCCAGTGATAAAATATGCACAATAGCAGTGCCCTGAAACTAATGCACCTATGTGGAATTCAGTAAAAAAGAAAGTGCTTTCCAATTATTTTTGCAATTATGTGAGCAAACTGCCCCTGGCTAGGTGATTTTGGAGCTTAAAATATAATGAATCTGTAGCAACATAACTTGTTTGTGTTATTCACACAAAGTTGTACCATCTGACGCCAATGAAATGACAAATTAAAAAAACTATACAGCACTGAAATGATCACAATCTGCTTGCAAGTCTTACTGGATTTGTCTTAAAAATGCTCTTTAATGTAATCCTTGAAGAGTACTTAGCCCGAAAGCCCATTAAACGCTGATTTGCAGGAAATTCGCAGAGGCGTAATTGTAATCTTACCATTAAGATGCTCCACCGTCCATTTCCCCTTTTTGCTCCCCTCAATCACAGTGAACTCAAATGGTGCAGAATTGGGAAACTCGTCTTCATCTACGGCTGTTACGTAGATCACGTTATCCTCGAGGCACATGGTGTGACTAGTAGCGGTCAGTGTCGGACAGTGGTCATTAAAGTCCTCCACCTGGATGGCTATGGTCCCTGTGGCAGTTTTTGAGGGACTCTCTGAAAGCCAATCGAAAGAGAGATTAATGTTTATCCTCCAGCGTATCTGTCCACTGGATCAGAATGATCGTCTTTACAGAAACTCACCGTTGCTGATGCAGATAATTTTGGCATAATATGTTCCATTGATCAAGAACTTGGACTCTCTGTCAGGTAGTTTATTCAGCCTGATATCTGCTGTCTTTTCATCAATAATCAACCAGTTGTCATCATCTTTGATTTTAGCATACCTATAAATATGAAAATACATCAATGTGAGGACAAAAAAAACAACAAGCTATTGATGTACAATACATCGATTCAAAGCCGCAAAGAGAGCCATCTATACAACTGCTGTTCATCTATCGCTATGTGGCCGTACCTTACGTTGGTGGCTGTCTTTAGCGTGTCACTGTCAATGGCAGCGTAGTTGGCAATAACTTTTTTGATGGAGACGGTAGAGTGGTCCTCAGAGATAGTCACCACTTTGACACTTGGTTGGAATCGGGGGCCTTCCTTCTGATTGATCACATTGACATTGACATTGTAGGCTTTTTGGGTTGTCTCCCCTGCCCCGGTGGCAAAACTGTACGCTGCTTTGTTGGAAACAGCCACTTGCAAGTTGACCAACTTTTGTTCCTCATAGTCCAAGGCCTGCAGATTCAAGGATAATGCACAGGATATGCCGTTCACATTAGCCTTCGTAGTGACGTTTACTCTGTTCGTTGGATCACACGGTTTACAATTTCAGTCTGTCAAAATGGAACTACACTCTTTTACCTTGTGAATCATGATAATTCCTTCGTTGGTCTTAGAATCAGTAGTGATGTGGAAATAGCCAGCCTCATTCCCCGAGATGATTTCATACACAGCCAGCCAGTTGTCAGTGTGAATCAGATCCTTGTCAATGGCTTTGATCCTCATCACTTCCACATTGACAGTGTTCTCCTGCACACTCCCTTCATACTGCAAATAAAACACTCAGTTGCTTTAGAACAGCAGTATTATGAAAGCCAATTTCAAAAAAGGAAAGTGTTGGTTGTGGTAATTGTGTCACACCCACCGATTCTTGCTCCAGGGTGGGAATATTGTCATTTATGTCCAGAATTTTGACCACAATTTCTCCGCTTCCTGTGTTTCCTCCACTTTGTCCATTCAAGTCTGAGGCTTGTACAGTCAACGTATATGTATCCTGTCTCTAAAGAATAGATAAGATATACAATGCACTGATTAACACATTCTAGGTTTTTAAGTTTCCAGCAAAGCCTGTTGACTCATATGCGAATGATTGTGTCCTCATATTTGGTTACAAATTGCTAGGAAATGCACAAAATGCCTCCATCACATTGACCGTGACTCAACAGGTAACAGGGAACTATGTTTTTGATGGAAAATAGCATCTTTACATAGTGTGATGATTCTAAATGGACTCACCACTGTGTGATACTGATCCGGCTACTGTGCTACACGATAAGAAACCTTTTGGTTGTACAAGAGAAGAATTTCCGGTCAGTTAAGTGCCTCACCTCCCTATCGAGGGTGTTCTGTCGAACGTGGACCTCCCCAGTCTGAGAGTTGATGAAGAACATCCCAGCTGTGTTACTCTGCTCCACAATGCGGTAGTACATCTTGGAGTTTAGTGTGCCCGCTTCATCATCATCAGTCGCTATAACTCTCATCACAACAGTACCTAGGAACCACCAGAAGGAATTGAATAATATATCAGTTTATTGAGTACAGGTAAAACATAACTTAGCCTTCACAATTGTGTTGTAGATGTCTTTAAATACCTGCTGCACTTGATTCATTGACAGATCCAACTTGCTGTACTTTAATGATTGGTGGGCAGTCATTCACATCCAAAACTTTGATGTTAAGTTCGATATCCTTTTCAGCTTTGGTCCCGTTGGTGAACTTTGCAATACCTTTTAACTACAAAAAGAGATATCAAAACAACGTCACCATCTTCTCCCTGTGCAACTTGAGGGCTTGACTGTAATGAATGTGTTAGTGCCCTTACGTTGTAGAAAGGGATCTGCTCTCGGTCCAGAATGGAATAGATTTTCACGAAGCCAGTATTTTCGTCGATACGAAATATACCTTGAGGGGACTGGTCAACGCCAGACCCTGTCAGATAATACAATATCTTTGTATAGTTGGCCTTGTCAGAGCGGATCTGAAAAATAAATACACAAACTGAAAATGAATCCACTTGATCTGGAAATCTAACATCTTCCAATTACAAGGAAAAGTGTAAAGGTCTACTGTACGTATTTAATACAACAATTTTATTTTTTAAACTGTATTCTATGAGGCCTTCAGTTTATGTGAATGCAAGCATGTACCATGATAAGCAGTGGTGGAAAGTAACTAAATACATTTACTCAAGTACTGTACTTGACAATATACCTCTACCTCACTACATTTCACCTAACTCTATTTATTCAAAAGCTATAATCACAAATTACTTTAAGATAAAACGTTACATATAACACATATGATCTGTTTATAACATATGATCTATTGTTACAGATTAAACTTAAAATACAATTTTAAATAATATTATACTATTACACTGACAGGAGCCCCTCTTCATTGACTACTAATCATTTTGATACTTCTGTGCTTTTACTTAAAGGACATTCTGAATGCAGGACTTTAACTTGTAATGAAGTATTTTATAGTTACTTTCATAATATGGCATCCAAACTGGGTTTTTTTCTCTGACGACAACAACCACAGAAACTAGCTTACATGAGGTTAATGACTGTATAACAAGCTCTAGTTGAGATGTGAAACTAGGTTACTGCTGAGTATCTGTCTAAATATCAGACAAGGACGCATTCATTGTCTCGTTGTGTGCCTGACCTGACTCATTCAGCCTGGGGAGCTGATCTTACACATGCTCGGTAATACAAACAGTAAGGTGTTGCATTTTATGTGACAAAGGTGTGACTTATCATTGTAAGGATGGACAAATTGATGTACCTACAATTAATATCAACATGGCTGCCAAAACGTTTAAATGAAGAGTTAGGATATTCTGTATTGACAGGATTCTTTAGAAAGAAAGAAAACAAGTACACACTTTAGCAATATACTCCAAGCCGGTGTAATCGTTGTTCTCAAACAGCTGTCTGGGAGCTACGATCCATTCTCTCTTCTGTCTCCGTAACACTGGCCCCTTTCCTTCTGCCCCAACAGGAACAAGCTGCAGGTAAACAATCAGGGAGGAAGAAACGTGATCGTCACTATTAATGAGTAATATAGCTTCATTCATCACATCAAACGGCCCATTATTGTTGCTCCTGGCTCTTAAACATCTTTACACATTTTTAAAAAAGAGCTTAGTAAATGTGTGCACACAGCAAATGGATTGTTTTAATGTCAATAAACTATGACCTATAAAACATTTTAAATTAACGTGAAGACCGTCACCCTCTCTTTTACTTTGCAAAGTCTACATAACTTCACACAACATAACTGAACCCCGTTCACCATCCTACAGTTTACCATCTCCCCTAATGTGACGTGAAATATTCATCAGGGGAAATCGACATGTGATACGTATGTATGACTTATTTATGACTTTATTTTCCCCCCAGCATCAAAGGAGATAAAGCTGCTTTTACTGGAGAGGAAATAATAAAGAGCCGTTCCGTGACAACACAGTAAACATAGAGACTGCGCTTTTATTGTTCCTTTCGCATCTTTGGCCGCAAACCCGATTCTTTTCACTTAAAACTGCACGCGCACTAATGAATCCGGTGAGCTTCGAGCGCCACCAGAGAAAAGCCACACCTGTGTTAGACCCGTTGTCCTAGCCACGGTATCGGCCATGCAACTATGTGAAGCGGCACAATGAACCCTTTACTCACAGTTAGGAAGATCGCCAGCAGAATAAAAGGGCTGCATTCCCGCAGTGGAGCCATCGGCTTGAACAAAAAATAAAAAAATAAACTTTCTGAAATCCTCCTCTTGAAGTAAAAATCGCGACAACTTGACTCCGTCTGCAGTGGCGCTGGTTTCGTTCAGACTTTGACCCTTCGGAGGGGAGGAGGAAGAACTTTTACAGCGATAGGCGGTTCCTCTCGCTCTGGTTGATTGCTCACTCGCTGCTGCTGATAACAGGCGGAGAGAGAAGGGCGCCATGTCCTCTGAGTGCGTAGCTGCAATATTTGTGTGCAGCCTATTGTCTTTGGTAGGAAGAAGAAAAAAAACAACCAGTAGCTTGGAGTGAGAGGAAATCACTCCACAATAGGCAACAACATGTGTCCAAAGCAGACGAACATGCTTTTATTATGAATCATCACTTTTATTTAGGATAACAAACAATGCTTCACAATATCGTTCCGTCTTGACTTTGCAGCATGTGAACAAGTCTGCTTTTTAATTATGATTCTGATGTTCAGTTAAAGTGTTTTTTTATTTTTTAGTGTTGGAGTATTGGAGTATTGGAGTCCTTTTGGGGCCAACTTTCACAGTCATCTGTAAAACTTCACCTGTGCCTGTGAAATTCCCAAAGAGTGCAACGCTCATAAACATTGAGCTGCACAGCGGCTGTAGGCGAGTGAGTGCATGTAAAGCTTAGTGAGTTTGTTAAACAAAGAAAAAAAAACAGGGAGGGGAAAAAACGTTTGCGTTGCTAGGGTACGAGAAACTTTTACTCCCCATGGTCAAAGGTGTGTGTGTGTGTGTGTGTGTGTGTGTGTGTGTGGGAGAGGAATATCCAGTATGAGCGTTATCTTGCATGATAAGGCCATCAGTTCAATGTAACGCATGGAGTCTGACAGTAAAGCTCACATTTCACTGGAATTGTGCAGCCCCAGTGTTATTTCTTACTCACCGTGAGAGTGATTGCTTTGTGAGCAATCACTTATTCTTCATTGGTTTACTCAATCAGCGTCTAACAGCAATATGAGCGCAAAGGTGAAAGGGCGGTTTCGATCGCACCACAAACACACAGCATATGTTGCACAGAAAAATAAATACTGCATACGCACTTTTCGCTTTTCAATCTTTGTTTGTGAAAATGCAGCAGAGTGAGTTGTGTCACAAGAGCCGGGCGTGTCCGTCCGTCCGCTCTGAGTGATCAAACCATATTTCAGTGTCCTGTAAAAGCAGATACTCTAACAACATTGCCCAACACAACCATCTCACTATTGGTGTGTGTGTGTGTGTGTGTGTGTGTGTAATGGCTGTTTGGACAGATTAATAACTCCTGTCGGTCTATAGGTGAAGTATATTAGTACGGTTATTATTGTAGGCATTAGATGCAGTCATACAACAGTGTGGTACAACTTTTCAGTGGACACATGCACGTCATCTTCAGAGCTGAATCAAAATATAATAAGCCCATCCAGATTTCTATGTGCTTTAGATAAGTTGCCAGTTTATTAAGTAGCTACACCTCCCTAAAATGAATGCAATCTAATATGACAGCTCTGCATTGAACAGGTTTTGCAGAAACTCTTTTAGCGAGGTGTTGATTCAACTTCAAGGTCGGATCGTGTTGTTATATACGCTGAGGTTTCGTCTAATATACTGTCCACTCCGTTTATATCGATGAGGGCAAACTGCATATTAGAAACACCTCTCCGTGCATCCACATCTCAGTAGCTTTTAACGCACACCGTTCGATGCAACTTGGACACGTCAATCGGTGATGTGTTTGGGGTCTTCAGACCCCGTCGCCTCGCGTGGTCCACAGATCACCCCGCTTGATCCAGAGCCATGTCGACCCTGTGATCTGATGGCACTCCTGCGGCACAATTCCATAGAAAGGTATTACCATGACGCCAACACCTCTCTTAAAACAGTTTCGACACGAAACCAGAACACATCACCTTCACTTAAGTAGTATTTATTGTACGGCAGTCCAGCGGTTTCAGGTAGGTGTGCCTGGCTGGAATGAACTGGTAACTGGCGACAGCACATTTTGTGACGTTTAATTGGTTTACATGTGACCGGCATTTCAAATGACGCCCTGAGGATCAGTCATCTATTAGTCACATCATTCTCTGGTCTAGAAACGCCACAGAGCAACTTGTCTCACCCGAATACTAACCATCGCCTATGACTTGACCCTGCCTCCCGCTAACACTCACACGGGCGTGTGTCACTACAATAAAAGGAACAGCCTCAATGGTCTCAATCTTAACGAATTTTAAATACGTTATCAGGAAACATCGTGTATGAGCCCTATAGCATTGATGTTACATCCTGGCAGCACACACGATTTGGTGTCGTCATGCAGGCTTCAAACTAGATTTCGCAACATCGAATTGATAGGCCCAGTGTCATACCTAGGAAGACAACAACAATACTAAACAGATGTGTTCAAGCACACAAGCACACCTTGCTATAACCGATGAATTGTACTGTACGTTGCACAAGGATGACGCAAAGACAGTTTTATGTCTTTACGTCATTTGAATGTCAAAACTGAGTTTTCCTGAGAAACGAATCATGTCTGGCTTTCTCCAAACTTTACTATTCAGCAGAAAAGTCATGAAGTAATGCTTTGGAGATTAATAGAACATGAAGCACTTGTTGACTGATCTGACCACAGTGTGTCAATGAGTAGAAAGTGTGGGAGGGAGAGGTCAGACATCGTGTCAACAGTAGAATGAGCGGGCAAATAATGTGTTCTGTGTGCTCCGTACTCACACTGAAGCCTGAGTACGAGCATAATTCACTTTCATTTTAGCTTGGGGGGGGTGACATAGGAGAGGTATTTCGCTGAGTCTGTTTCATATTTACTCTGAAGGCTCCCAGCAAACCGAGCCCTTTCATTATGTCCACGCCCATGACTCACAGCGGCGCAGTCTTCCTGCCATTTTTCTCACCTTTCCTGCTGCAGCTCCACGCAGTCTGACTTCCCCACTTAGTTTGAGGCCTACCCCACCACAGTCCATCCATGTGGGACGTGTCGTATAAGGACAGGGGCCCAGTGTTGCTGCCTCCGACCACTCTCACTTTTATCAGCAGTTTATAGAGATAGCGAGCGCTTTCGCTGTGGGAGCAGAGAGCCTCCCCCACACCAGGCTTTCGTTCGGCATCACATTCCTGTGGCGTTAAGTGAGGAGCCCAATTCTGTTCCTCCTACCAGAATGCTTCAGTGGAGCTGCAGAGGAGAGAGGAGGGAGCATGCAGGGGTCAATTTCTGGTTTGAGAAAAACAAGCAGATACACAAACAAGTAATTATACCAAAGAAGATACAAAAAAAACACAAACACGTATACTTTTCCTCTGTAGCTTAAACAACTAAAAGCACCTGCTCTGCATTAATAGAAATCAATGTAATATACCTGCAAGACATTATAGTGCTTTTACAGGCTCATATGGCACAACAATAATAAAGATCCATGGGAAATGATAGTGTTTAGCTTTGTTCTGATGCCTTGCAACACTCTGGAATGTTACACAATGGCATTAAATGGCACATTAAAGCAATGTTTCCCCCTGCTGGCCGAAGAAGACAAAATATATATATATATATATATAAATGCAAAGTTTTTTTCAGGAGTTGACGTGTTCAGCACAATGGTAAGACAACAGTGAGCACAGCCCCAGGGTGCTTTGGCCTGCGGATCTCAACAGGGAGGCTCAGAGAGTCTGGGTGTGGCAGCCAAAGGTGTGTCTGTCTGTTGACTCAGTGCCAGCAGCGACAGATACCGCGGCTCAGAGGACAGTCTGCCCGGCCTACATTCACAGCACCGAGCGCGCGGACAGACGGGTGTCCTCTTCAGAGCTTTTTTAAACACAGACACTAATCCACCCCGTCGCACTTTTCGGACGATTCGCCGTCGGTCGAGTTCGGCTTCCTCCTTCGGACAAAGTCCATCGAAAGTATTCAACAATGGCGAATGTTTTACTTTTCAACCTCTGCTCGCTGTTGGTAAGTTTGTTTTATTTTTATTTTATACATATCCTCTCGCCTGCTAAGGTGTTTGTCGATACGAATGTAACGTTAGACCACCGCGTTAAGCTGAAAGAGAAGTATTGTTTTAGTGGTTTTTTTGGCAGGAAAAGTGTTGGTTGTGGTAATTATGTCACACCTGTACCGATTATTTCCCCAGGGTTGGAATATTTTCATTTATGTGCATAATTTTGACCGCAATGTCTCCGCTTCCTGCGTTTCCTCCACCTTGTCCATTCAAGGCTTGTATAGTCAATGTGTATCCTGTCTCTAAAGAAGAAGAGGATATAGGCTACAATGCACTGATAAACACATTATACTTTTTAAATTCCCAGCAAAAGCTGTTTACTCATATTCGAATGATTGTGTCCTTATATCTGGTTAAACAATTCCTATGAAATGCACAAAATGCCTGTATCTCATTTGAGATCTACTCTCTACTTCAGATCCTGTCCCGCGTGGAGTCGTGTTTAATCCCGACCTCTCTGTACATAGTTGTGCCAAACGCACTTCTACCTGGATCCCAAATCACCACAGGTGGGAACCCCCCCCCCCTCACTCAGCAGGCTGCTCGTTCGTTCTTTACCGAACAGTAGTCTCCATTTCCACCGCATGAATTGTTCCATGCACTGGTTGTTGTAGCCGCCTTTTAACCAGTATCTCCTCCTCTCTCGGTTCCCAGTTGAAGTTTCCGACTGCGACACCGACTCGATGCGCTTAACTTCGAGCGACCCGAGCTTTACAGTCAGCAGCAGTGGGGTGATAGAAACCGTAACGTCGGTGTCGGTGGCAGCGGCGGGGCGGACATTTTCTGTGCGGGCTCAGGACAACAGTGGACCGGACAGTGAGATGTTCGTTCACCTTGTTCACAGTACAGCGTCGAAAAGACAGGTGAGGTTATGCCGAGACTGTAATGCTTTTATAGCAGGTTTATGCATGTCAGAATCCATAAACAACCCTGACCCTGTTTGCGTTTCCCAGGAGCCCACAGGCTTCCTGAAACGCTTCAAGAGACGCTGGAGTCCCCACCCCTTCAACATACTGGAGAACAATCCGGGACCTTATCCAAGAGCCATTGACATGGTAATTAGCTGATCCTAATCCTGAAAATATAAACTTTTTTTTCACCCAGATTATGTGATTTACACACGCCTCTTAAATACATTACTTTCCACTGAGTTTATGCAGTGATTAATTATTATTATTATTTTTTTTTATACCTGCACCACCAGATTGTCTATTGGAATCTGTGTTTAATGGTGTTGGCTTAAAATGTGTTTGAATTTGTTGATTTCCGTTGTAGATCGTGTCGGACTCGGACCTCCAGCATAGATTGTACTACACCATCAGTGGGCCTGGCGTCGATCAGCATCCAGTGGGTGTGTTCAGTCTCAACAGAACTGGGATGTTGTTCGTGCGTAAGACAGTTGATCGCGAGGAGTTCCCGAAGTTTATAGTGAGTGTGAAACACCATTAGAACCAATGATTATTTTCCTTATCAATTAATCCGATGATTCTTTTCTCAAAGAAGCGATCTTGATCTATAAAATGTCATGAAACAGTAAAACAAAAAATTGCCCGTCAGAATTTCCTAAGGCCAACGGAAAAGTTGGGTACAGCAATGTTTGGCTTTTTTTTACCTGAACAATTAATCGAATGACAATTTCAGCTGTAGTGTCGAGCCCAAATGTTTATTATGTTGATTCGACCCTAAGTGGAATAATTCACATTTGACATTGCTGCACGTTGGCTGAAAGGCCCTTTAAACTAATCTGTCATTGAAATGAAATTGTAAAATTGACTTTTTTTTCCGTCACAGTTAACAGTCAGAGCTTTTGACAAAATTACCAACGTGGAGACGGACAAACCTTTGGACATCATAATAGATGTGGACGATGTGAATGACAACGCTCCGACATTCCTAGACCCGATGCAGTTTACTGTGCTCGAGCAGAGCACTGCAGGTGAGGAACACGAAATACACACCAGTAATCCCGCGCTGTTAGATCTTCCGTTTGAGGGATAATAAACTCCGTGTTCATGTTGTACACCACAGGGACAGTGGTGGGGAAGGTGAATACTACAGACCGGGACCAAGAGAAAACCCTCCACGTCAAGATCAGGTATTCTCTCAAGACAGGATTAGACCTGTTTGCCATCAACCCTGATACCGGTGTCATCTCGACGGCAACCAAAACCTTGGACAGAGAGGTGAGCACCAGCACCACTGTATCATCGAGTCGTTCTGAATTATGACAATTAGATCATACAAATCTTCGTCTCGTGCCTCGTCTTCACCCTTTTTATCGTATCACTTTGTCACACTTTTTCTTTAGACCAAAGACAAGCATGTGGTGACGGTAGAGATCAGAGATATGTACGGTGCAGTAACCGGTCTGTCCAGCACAGCAACGGCAACCATTGCTGTGGGTGATATCAACGACAACCCACCGACTTTCACAAAAACATCTGTAAGTGATAAGCGGTTACTTAAAAAAAAAAAAAGAAGTTTTTTTGACAATCAAGTATTTGGTATCAGTGTTTTAATTGATTTAAGTAACACACTTGTTTCTGTCCTTTAGTTGGTAGCCACTGTCAAAGAAAACGAAAATGAAAAACTTATCCTTCGAATTCCTGTTGAAGATAAGGACTTAAAACCAACACCGAACTGGGTTTCCAAATTTTTCATCACTAAAGGAAATGAAAAGGGACATTTCAGAATCGAGACTGACCCCAAAACCAACGAGGGGCTTCTGTATGTCTCAAAGGTGAGTGAGATTTCATATCATTATTAAGAAACTAGTAGCTACTTAATATGATACAGAGACTCACATTTTATGGCCTGTAACGCAGCATTAAAATAAATTTGTATTTCCCTGCTTTTCCAGCCCTTAGATCACGAGCTGAACAAAAATGTAAATCTTGAGATTATGGCACGGAACGAAGCCGACCTGGTTGGCACCACGGCCAAATGGCTGTCCATCCCCGTGGACGTCACTGTCCTCGATGAAGATGAGGGTCCAGCATTCTCAGCCCCTACCGTCCGCTTCAACGTCAAAGAGAACACACCAAACGGCACGGTGATAGGAAGTTACATTGCTCTGGATCCTGAGACCAAGAGCAGCAACGGCATCAAGTAAGCAATCCTGCTTTACGGTCGTTTTGAAGCAATTAGCTTTCCTGCGGTATACAGTGTGGCAGTTAATGCTCAAGACCCCCAACTCAAGTTCATTTTACTTCTCTTTAACACTGGAGGGCAGACTTTCACTGCAGAACTGGAGAAGGTGTTCCTAATACACAAGTATGTTTTCCCTCCTCTCTCAGGTACTACAAGGTCACAGACCCAGCCTCCTGGATCAATGTGGACAAAGACAGTGGGCAGCTGACGGTGGCAAACACAATTGACAGAGAGTCGCAGTTTGTCCACGATGGACTTTACAACATCACCATGAGGGCTGTTGACGCCAGTAAGTTCCTTGTAAATGCGGAACATTTCCTGTGACTTGTGTAAGCCACGCACTCCGTGCAGAGCCGAGCTGTTATTGTGACGGCAAAAACACACTGATGCAGAGTGGTGCGGGGACTCGCACTGGGGATGTTTTGGTAGAAGTCAAAAGCTAACATTATACGCTATGAACGAAGTACAACACGGTCACGTGAGTGCGAGTACACACAACGATTCTGTAAAGGCGGACTAGTCTGCGTCATTTAGCCCCTTGCAGCCTTTTTTAAGACGCGTAAAAGCTTCAAAATTCACGAGAGCGGTATTCGTATTTAAATATCGTAGAATAAAACCTTTACCTGTCTTGAGCTTCTGTCAACCACAGACCTTATTTCTTGTATTTAATTGCAAATTCCATGTTCAAAAAAACCCGACGAGGGAACAGGAAGTGCAAAAATGCGAACTCATTTCATGCTTTTAGGACTGCAGCGCCCTACTGCTCAGATAATTACATACGCTGCAGTACATCTCCTGTGCTTCAGTAACTCTGCTGAACCGTAGAACCACTTGACTGATAAAGAAATGTAATTCTTTAAATCACATCACATTACCTGTTTTATAAACTCACTCCGTCTCCCATAGGTTTGGTCAATTTCCAAACCAAGAACTTTGTTTTGGGAAAGTGAGTCGTCGTCATGTGAAATCATCACAGACGGGCCTCTTTGTGGCATTGTTGCACCATATTAAAGATGTTCACAGACACCAGCTCCACCCTCACCGGCATCTGTCTGACACATTGTGTGTTGTGACTTACAATGACTCACGCTTCTCTGATGTGAAAATTGGCCTCACACCCAGCTGCTTGTCGGAATTAGAAAATTCCTGATTATTCACTCTCACTTTTTTTCTGCTTTAACATGCCCTCTTTTATCAGGTATAAATACTAATGTAACTCCCGTGTATTTTAGGCTCCAAGACAGGAACAGGAACAGTCATCATCGTGGTGGAGGATGTCAACGACAACATACCAACTCTCCCCCCCAGCGAGTTGGTGTCGTGTGAGAAGGAAGGAGAGCTCGGCTCGGTGCTGGTTGTGGCTGAAGACAACGACCGGAGTCCCTTTTCCTCCCCGTTCAGCTTTAGTTTGCCAACTGATCATGATGGCAAATGGTCTGTGACCAGATTTAATGGTAGGTGGTTGTATTCGTTTTGTAGTTTGTTTTTTAATCTACGTCTGTTAGAAGAGTGTCTTTTAGACCAAATAAACATGCATAACAGCAGCAATGCATTATCAGAACATCTGTTAAAGCTCTGTAAGAAAACAAAAAGCAAGTTATTCATTGAAATATGTACTCCAAAAGACGTTATCAAAATAACCCAGTAACACAATGGGCAGTGAATGAGCCAGAGTCAGGCAAAGTCTTACTGAAGTAAAACTACAGAAGAATCATCACCAAATAGACTTAAAGCTTTAAAAGTATAAGAACAGAATGACCTGCTATTTATATTTTACATTATTAGATCATTATCATTTGTACAGGTATTTTACTTTATATCATATTTTAAGAGCACATTTTATGTTTTAGCTGTCAAAATAAAAGTAGTGACGTACATCCGTCAAAATCTGCAGAAAGGGAAAATATCCAAGTACAGTACTTGTGTAAATGTAACTAGTTACTTTCCAGCACTGAAACGATACAAACAGGGGTTTAAAATCTGATAACAATATATTAGCCAATATATTTTTTTACCATCAAACATTTTTGAGGAAAATCCCTTAGCTTAGCTTTTTTAAATTAATTGCATCCATAATATGTACAGAGTGGAACATTTTAGAAAAACAACAGTGCTCCCTGGTGGACAAACAAGGTAATGCTGACACTGTTCAAAAGTGCTGCAATTTGTCATTAGGCCACTTATGTTCTAATACGATACTGTACATCTATGATAAGCCTACATTAGACGGTGATATTATCACTTGGGCTCTCCTAATGCGGTTGGGACATAAAGAGGGAACGTGTTGATTCGTGAGTCAAAGAATGTGCGGCATGGGCAAATGCATGATCACTAAAATGAAGACTTTGCATACCGACTGCTTTGATATTGTTTTGCGGTTGTTTTAGTGGGGGATGGCAACCAGTTTTGTAAGCTGCGTTCCACCGCCTATGTTACAGAGGGTGTACTTTTCTTTATACAAAATTACATCTTTTGGGTGAAGTATTCAAACATCATAACGAACACTTGCTTGAATCCGTCTGGAAAAAATTCTCTTTTTCTAACTTTAACATGTTCTGCACAGTGTTGATTTCTTTGAGAACCCTGGAGAATAATTTCTTTTTTTACACGCATTTCCTCCTCAGATACAGCAGCTACGTTGCAGCAGATGAAAGAGCTTCCTACTGGAAAGCACAATGTTCTCTTGGACGTTAAAGATCTGCAGGGCTCTGGTAAAACACAGACGGCAACAGTGAGGATCTGCCGCTGCAGGAATGGAGACTGCATTATCAAACCAACCTCTGTGTCATTTGGTCCAATGGGTTTGCTGGCTATGCTGTTGCCTCTGCTCCTCCTCCTACTGCTCGGTGAGTTTCCCCCCCCCCGCTGCTATACTCTCGCCAGCAGAATTGTGTCTACAGGTGTGTAGACGGTGAAACAGTTTTGTGCACGCATGTGTAAAGTGCCAGGAGAGTGATAGAAAGTTAGAGGTTGTGCCACTGAATTATGGGTTGTATGTTAGGCACAGAGCAATGATATGTGGTAGTATCCTTATACAGTGCATAATACCTTAACGCTCACTCTTGTGATGCCTTCCACACTGTTTGTTATAAAATGCACTCCTCGTGCATTCATTTCTAACACACTTGCTTTGTTATTGCAGCCCTTCTGGTTGGACTTTTCTGCACGACAGCGAAAGAGCATCTGAAATTTGACGACGGAGGAGACGGTGGTGGAATCCTGCTCAAATCAAACACAGAGGCCCCGGGGGAAGAAGTGGTAAGGACATAATAATCAAAGCATTGCCTCGGCCCACTGCCTTGTAAAGAAACCTCATTTGTTATCTTCGCTTTTTTCCTCTCTCTTTTGCTGCATTTATTTAATTGTTACTTGATTGCCTGTTTTTGATTTATTGTTTGTTTTTTTTGTTTCTCCGCAGGATTCCAGTCTCATCATTGTTCCCACTACTGGATCAGTAGTGAAAGGCTCCGTTAAGGGTTTCCAATCGAATCAAGATTGGATGATAAACAACGGCTCCGCCACATTAGGAACCAAAACCACCCACGCGAACGGGATGTATTCCGATGTCGTCACATCCAATTTTGGCCAGTACAATTCTGGCCGGTACAACCACTATGGTAATCAATCGGTGGGAGGAAATTATATCGGTAGCGTTGAAGGCTTTGACAACAGACACCTCGCCCAGGACGCGACTCTTCATCACAACTGGCAAACGAACGGCCGCTATCTAAACCAGGTAATGTTCTTTTATAGTAGCAAAAAGATCAGATTTTTAATATATTTATAGTATAACAAAGAAAAGAGGGGGGGGGGCGCTAAGAGTGGAAGGAAGCACAAAAAGTGGCTGAATTAAATGTGTCCAGATGTGTCTTTCATTCTCTGAGGTTTAATAACTTCTTTGTTATCTGTAAGGGCTTAGGTAACTCTCCTGTGTAATATAATCGTGTTCTCTAAGCCGTGATAGCATCCCCCTGTAAACGTTATTATTTCTCAACTTCTTGGTGAGAGATGTTATTTCTCTGTGTAATATCTGACTGCCAGTCATATCCTGAGCAGACATGGTGCAGAATCTCCCCTCCTATCGCTCAGTCTTGGTCCACGGCGAGTAATAACGCGCTTCCTCTCCCTTCCGCTTCGTCTTGCAGAAGATGATCTACTTCGGAACGGAGGACGACGGGCGGTACGCGGACGACGTCCTCCGCCCCTACAGGTTCGAGGGGGTGGGCTCTGCAGCCGGCTCCGTGGGATGCTGCAGTGACATTGGCGACGACGAAAACCTCGACTTCCTGAACAAGCTCGGACCAAAGTTCAAAACTCTCGGAGACGTCTGCAGAAAGACATGAACGATGGAGCTCAAAAATAACGGCGCTCACTCCTAACTGTGCCGGATGCAGACACGGGCCTGGGATCTGAATGTTTGGTGTGCCCCTGAACATGAATGAGAAAAAGAACAAGCAGGTGGCGTCGGTGTGTGCTCTGCTGTCGCTTTTTGTCGTTATTTTTTTAAAAATGTTTCTTTGCTGCTTTTTTGGCAAAAGTCTTTTGCACTGAAAACTATGCAGATGCAGTCAGTCGTACATGCTTTGAGTCGTGTGTTGTTTAGTGCCTTTAGAGTCATCCATCCATTATCTACACCTGCTTCTCCATGTAGAATGATATTTGCAGTGAAGGCTTGCGGGGTTTTCGGTCTACTGTATGAGTGATGACTTTGGGTATTTTGGTTATTGTTAATCATCAGTGTTTATAGCAAGTAAGATACAATTTTGCATTTGTGTGGCTGTTTTAATTGCTTGCTCAATTTTTTTAGTTTTTGATATATTTTTTTAAAGAAAAAAGAAATGCCTAAATTAAATAACACAATAAAACTGCCTTCTTTAACGTTTCACATCAACAAACTTTCCTTTAAAATGACATGTTTGTAATTATTTCCGAGTTTTTAAACAATAATGTTGATTGCGTTCACTGGTTTTCAAATTCATACGGTAATATATCTGAGCAGACACATTCCTCCGCAGCTCTCGGCCGTTAAATGGGCGTATAGCTTCAGCCCCGTGTCTCATCGAGGTCGTTGCAACATACTGACAGCAGTCCTGTGAAAGTCAGCACAAGGGCGTGAATGTGACGAGTGAGGTGCTACTGACACTGCCCGCAACTGTTTGGATACCAGACTGACCAGAAACAAGAAAGGCTTAACAGATCTGAAAAAAATGTCCTTGAACCTGCAAATTAAAGGGAATATTTAAGTCCAATTTGTGTATGTTGGGTTGTTGAAGTTGTAATTGTAAATGGATGCCATTAAAGAATGTTTCTCTTGGTGAACTTGTGCTACTGTGCCAGATGTAGTTTTTGTTCCCACGTTACAATACGATTCAAATAGCATCGATATATAAAATATAAACCAAATATAAAGCCTTCCTCGTACTTCTAACTGTGTACTTTGACAGAACGATAGAACAGAATGTGAGAGCCAAATAGTTGTTCTGTGTGCACTCTGGTGAATGATTTACTGGGTGTGGCACTCCGAGCTTGCACAATGTGAAGGGCACGGTGTTACTGCCAAGCACCACGCCTCCTGGCTAATATTTACCTCCAGGCTTCTGCAGAACAAGTTGGTGCATTTAAACACTATTGTTTTGCCTTTTCTGTCATTTCTTCCATGCTAAAGGTGCTGCTAAGCTAACAGAACAATACCCTCATCTTTGAGAAAGATTTTCCAGTGAAAGGAAATTCACTGTAGGGTCCAATCAATGTTGCTTTTAATCCATTATTGATAACTTGTTTAAAATGGCAACATTCTGTAGATAACAAGCTTAGCTAGGCACAGAGTAGCATGAATAAATAATACAGTACAGTAAATGTATTGAAACCCAAATTGAAATCCCCCATGAGTTCTTGGGTTATCGGGCTTTGGTCGATTACAGATTATTAATGTAGAGAGAATTATTTTTTTTGTTTTATTTAAAAGTATCGGTGCTCGTAAATAATTCACTAACTTTTGTTTCGATGACATGCAGATCATGGATCAGTGTGATGAATTACAAATCTAAAGCTGGAAATATAATTAGAGGGTCCAGAAAGGACCATCTGTCATGTGATTGTGGTGATGAGTATCAAAGATGACAATAGAGAGCGGGACAAAAAAAATAAAAAATAGGGAAATTAGATCTTGGAATGAAACTGGTCTCTCGCTAAGATCACACACTGGAATCTCGTTTAAAAATACAACAATAGTATCTGCACAAATTACAATAACACTGTGTCACAGTTATGGGAGGATGTGAACGAGATGAGAACATCAAAGGTTTTTTGCTCAAAATCCCACCGGGGCCAATTAGAAGTCACTTAACTCAAAATAATGGAAATAAGCAGTTAACCCAAATATCTAAAGAAGGCACTCCAAGCACAGACGGCAGCTCTATTAACCCTATTTTACCAATAAACAGTCTTTATTTCTTTTTAATTACCAACCTCTGCAGAAATAAAAGCTTTTGTGTGTAACTGGGATTCCGAGGAATTTTTGGGGACACATTTCCACATCTTCACCACGGCGACCCTGAGGTCATGCTCTGTGTTGAGTTCGTTACCAACAAACTGAGCACGGTGATGACACAGCATTAAGACCTGGCTTCGGAGTCACTTGGGACTGCAAAATTCATTAGACAAGTTCATTAATAGACGAATACCATTCAAGGGGTGTGAAATGTATCGTGGAAGTCCAAATCTGAGAACCAGGTTTGACATGCCCGTATAGCAGATCTTACAAGAGATGGTGCCTCACCTCGCACTCTCACTGCTGCAACACATGCCTTCATTTTCACACAAGACATAGTTAGCACAAAAGTAACATTTCCACTAACCCAACTGCTCGAAACAACGTGCTCAGCTGTCCTAACATATGGCGTGCGTGCGCCATGGGAGCTGCATGACAAAAATACTTTCGCAGCAATTAAAGCGACAACAAAAACGAGAGCTTTAGATCGTTTCTTTGAGCGTTGTCAAGCGCACCCTTATGTTAAGCAACGGCACTGATAAGCCACGTAATTCAAAGGACCACTTTGTGTGTGTCCACCCTTATCAGAGCTGCTTGAGCCATCACTTCCAGTCACTTCTGTAAAGACGCAATTAATTCTAAAGCAGCAGCGTGAAATTAATTTATTGCTTGTAATTAGTTTTCGGCCTACTGTGAAAACAATCTCTCCAGATAGGGTTGTTTTCACCCTCCACCAGAGAGTCTGAGGACACTCCATCCGAGTTCAATGTGGAGTGGAGCCTTCAAGCTGCCAAGAACTCGGAGCGCAGCAGCTTTGTAACCCCCTGCTGACTTTGGCCTCAGGATTTATGGCTTTAAATGACGTGTGCAAGATATTCCAGTTGCTGTGAATGCACACGACAAAGTAATGTCTTCACTGTGTGCCTTGGGAAAGCACAAACCAGGTCATGTATATATGGAATTTAGGTTGGTTTGTGATTAATTAACATGCAGAACGTGTGTTCCTGCATGCAACAGGCCCCATTCAAATGATGATGTATTGTGATGCGTTCATGACAGCGTATGATTCATTTGCATTTATGACGACACGACGTTATGACTGTTAGTGCCACTAGGTGTCACACTTACATCTCATCTGAGTTGAACACAGGCTTTTGAGATGGCTCTGGGGTAATATTTCTCCTAGAAGGTGACTGATTTCTGTCAAAACACTTCCTCTGTCCGTCTCATGCGGAACCAAACACCTGATATCACTCCAATTAAGCTGTAAAGTCATGACAGCTCTGTTAAAGGGAAGTAATGAGACCTTGCCTTCCTGTGCTCCGACGTGCTGTATATGCCAGATTTTACAGTTATCATGTGCTCTTAGTCACCGTCACTGATATTTGGTGTCACTTATCTAACAAGGCTTCTCATTGCACCTCCACGCTCATTAGAAGTGAAGTAGGATGGGAGCCTGCCACCACCTCTCAAGGATAGGGCGCTGATTGATGGGGCAGAAACTGCAAAAAAAAGTGGTGATAGTTCATTTAAAAGTCATACTTTTAATGATTTCAATATTTGCCCATCTCTGAATGATTAGAAAATAGTTTGTGTTGTGTCACATATCAAAGGACAATTATGTCGTATATGTAATTTAAATCGTATAGTGTTTTATTAACCAAATACTGGATAACTGGATAGAATTTAATATCCACGGTTATTACCATTTGTTTCCCCACTTCAAGCATCGGCTGTCTTTTAAATGTTTGATTGTAGTGTCTATCATGCCTTGTTTGAAGGTGTTGCGATTTATTTAATTTTTTAGCACTTTTGAGCTACTTGTATGAAAAGTGCTCTTTAAATAAAGTTATCATTATTATTATAAAGGTATTTCTGGTCTACTCTTACAAAAGATAAGAGACTGATTTGACTAATTCTCATTGTGCTATCATCATAACACCTACTCTTAACGTACCATTTGGCAGGATGTGCTTTACATTAACTATGCAAGAGCTTAAATGACTTGTTAAATTGTTTGTCTGAGGTATTGTGCTTCTTCCCAGGGTTGCCCTCCATATCTTTCACACTCAATTTAAATGTGCAGCTCACATATTAATTAAATAAATCAGTTTGGCAGCTGAAAGCCTCAGTGATACATCTGTGTCTTAATTAATCGAAAGGATTCAAGTGATAAACAACAGAATATGTGTATAAATGCTAAATTAACTCATCCATGATGCCTACATACAGTCTAAATATTCATTTGCCATTCATTTCATTTTCCCCTTTGTATTGTGAGATGTAGATACAGCTTTTATTTTATCGACTGCTTTCTACAATCATGATTGTTTTGCAACATGGACATCTGAACGCATTGATCAGAGATATAATTGTGTCTCCATAAGGCTAATGAGTGGACTGACCCTGGCAAACACTGTCTGAAAAAATATGCCATTATTCTCCCTGGATTTAAATGATGTGCCCATGTGGACGTTACCGAAACAGAAGTCATTTTTCGAAGTAGTAATCAATGAACACAAGGACGTGAGTGACGCACACGGTGAAAGCATAGACGGGGAAATGAGAGGATACACTTACTGGTGATTTATTTTTTATTACAATTACATGAAAATATTCTTTTCTTCGACCCATTTCCCTCCAGTTAATGGCAAAAAATATAGAATAGAGTAAGAAACATCACAAGATGAAAGCTAAGCTTAGCTTTCATCTTGTTTCTCCTATTGAGGATGTAACATCGGAGGAGGGCCGAGCGGCTGCATTCATCAAACTTGAGTTTCACCATCAACTGTACACCACAGTAACAGACCTCAGACTCATTACTGCATCGGATGAATGGCTGAGGTTGACCACTATTGAGCACATTCATCTCTGCAGTCACACCTCTGAACCACATCAAAAGACTGTTTAGTTGTGTGGTCGAAATATCTGCTTGTGTTTGTCTCCATTGAGCGGAAGTATTGAAGTGCAATGAACTGAAGGCCAGGGTGCAGCAGCAGACACAGTGCACGCAAATACAAAAATCCAAAAGGACGGCTCCCATTCGTTATTGTTCATCCAGCTGAGGCTTACAATGTAGTTGGCCCTCTGGGTGAGGTGGTTAGGCTTTGAAGAAGAAGTTCTGAGAGACATTCACAGCTTGTCTTGGCGATGCTGGTATGAGCTTGAAATGGCGTCTGCAACTACTGTACGTCAAGTACCGTACAATGTCATCTGTTTAATGAAAACAGTCGCAAACAAAACAAAATTTTTTGAGATTGCTGCAATCTCAAAAGGGCGGCGCTGGTGCCAGAAAACCTTCAGAGAAACGCTCGTTACGAGAGTTTCTGTCTGACTCAGAGGCTCAGTGTGACGTTGCCGCTCGTCAGAAGCGCAACATATTAGCACAGTGGCCTTGTCACATTCATCTGACGGAAACATAGACAAAAAAAAAAGGAGGACCTGACAAAGTGTTTTCCTCTGTCGGAGTCGCAATCAAAGCGAGCCCTCCGAAAAATCTTACTGTCATGTTTCACAAACTGCTCGAGTTTAACAGCTGAACACGCAAGGATCGGCAGAGTGAGAGTTGCCCGAGTAGAAAGGAGGAAATAGACGGGGTTAGACAGGCTGAGGAGGAGAGGGGGAGTAAACAGGTAGATTAAGAGCATAAAGAAGAGAGGCCTGTGATTTTGATGACTGATGTTGAGCATCGAGTCGGCGTAAAAACAGGAGGCTCACTCTGGCTCTTAGCGTGTAACCCCCTGTGGTGAAGATCTATAAGGCTGATCACCTTCTGTGTGAGCTGCTGCTCTTGCCTCACTGCCATGTCTCCTGGCAGAGCGCAGAGAGAGACTCC